ATAAATATATGGTTTAAGATATACTATATTCATGGGTTAAAGTGCACATTATCAGAGATAGTGTATCTAAAAATAAAAGTGGACATTGAGGTTAACATCCAGTGGTGTTGCTTTCATGCTTAAATGCAATCTTCATGCCTGAAGATTGTGTTTAAGCATGAAACAGACTGTTACCACTAGGTGTTGACTTCAGTGTTTACTTATATATATATATATATATATATATATATATATATATATATATATATATATATATATATATATATATATATATATATATAATGTATATAAGGCTAAGATGGGGTTTCAAGACTTGAATGGTAACCTTCAAGTGGTATTTAAAGCCTTGAATGGCAACCTTCCTAGAAATGGTGTCTCAATAAAAATATTCTCTGTACTTGGACTATCATGAGTTTCTGAGTTGAGCATCAGGAAGAGTATCTGGCCTTGTAAAACTTTGCCCCAAATTATTATGACAAGTCTCAGTAGGTTGACAGGTGTATGTGGAGAGGTAAATTGAGATCCTTTGCCAGACAAGACCCACCTTGCTTTGTGCATGATTAAGCCCAGTTCTGCCTCAACAAAAAAATATAGCAAGGATGATGATGATAATGATAATAATGATGTAGTAAATTATTTAAAATTGCTCACTTCTTAAAGAAAAACTGAATTGATGAAATAAAGTGATGCCTTAAAATTAGTTACATTTACCTCTAATTAGGAATATAGACACAAAAAAACATTAAAGGCCCCAGTGAGCCATGTGAAAGCCAAGCAGAAAAAAAGCATAATGACATTGCAAAAATATTCTTAAACCTCTCAGAGACTCTTGTGGCAAAAATATCTATTTGTCTATTAGGTGGATGCACCTTTTAGTCATAGAAAATTTTTTTTTTTCTAATTGTTTTCATATTACCTTCCTAAAGATTTTTCTTTTATGATTTGAAAAAAATTGCATTATATCTATAACATATACATCTACACTATATATATTATTAAAATGTATACTGTGTGGGATGGGTAAATTATCGCCATTTTTTACTTTTAATTTTGCGCATGTGCAGTGTTTGTTTTTGATTTTGTTGACTGCACAGTATAATAAGGTCAGTTGGGCACCATCTGTGAGAAAAAGAGCATGATGATGCAATTCACTCCACCAGAAATATGGAAATGGCATGTTGTACTGCTTGGCATTCGCACTGGAAGCTCCAATATAAACATTTCAGAATGTTTGGGTGTCAATCAGAGGACAGTGCAGAAGATTCAGAAAGAGTTGGATGAGTCTAAGGGTGACTACAAAGGTACGACAGCTCAGAAAACAGACTCTGATCATTCTGATAAGAAAAGAACTCCCGAATTTGTTGGTGATGGTCTCAGACAGAGTCCTACATCAAGTGCTTTGAAGAGGTAGTATTACCTTGGGTCAAGATATTGGCTGCTGGAAGGCCCTATGTCTGACAACAGGACTCTGCACCATACCACACAAGTAGGAGAACCCAGTCATGGACATCAGACAATTTCTGTGATCACTCACCCTTTACATCTGGCCACCTAACTTCCCTGACTGTAAGCCTCTTGATTATTATTTGTTGGGGACAGTTTAGTGAAAGACTAACAAAACTCCTTGTAACAGCAAAGATGAACTGAAGGTAAGGATTATGGTAGCATTCACCAAATTAAGGAAACTCTCCAGAAGAGTTGCAGGAGATTCTGAAATCATCTGGAGGCAATGGTTGAAGCCAATGGTGATTTTATTGAATAAATTTAATTTAGATATTTTTATGTAATTTTGGTAAATATATCTGTTAGAATGAGATGTCAGTGTTATTTTCATTTTTGCATAATTTAGACAACAATTTATCCATCACACCCTATATGTATATATATTTCATTCTATATCTACATTTGGTATGTTATGTTTTACTTTATCAACAAGCCTCTCAAGCTGATATTTTATAAAAGATTTGATAGATATTGACTATGCAGATGACCTAGCTATTACTGGAGACACAATTATCAATACCACAGTACATCACCTAGAAAATGTTGCCAGTGATGTTGGACTTTATGTCAATGTCTGTAAAACTGAATTTATAGGCATCAACTAACAAGGCTCAATACAAACTGTCTCAGGCAAATCAATAAAATCTGTTGAATCTTTTGCATAACAAGAAAGCAAAATAGATTCTACTGAAAATGATGTGAAAATTTGCCTGGGCCATCTTGAATAAAATGGATTCAGTCTGGAAATCTGATCTACCAGACAACCTCAAATGGAGATTCTGTGTTAATGTATGGTGCCATTTCTTGGGCATTAACATAGAGTCTAAGCTTGATAGAACCCACTCTCAGATACTGAGAGCTATACTTAACATCTCCTGGAGACAACATCCAACTAAATCAATTTAATCACTTTCTTACTAAAATGGCATGGCTTCCTTCTGTCTTTTCTACAAATATTTTTTTCCTGGTGCCCTGACTGCATGAATTTAAGTGTGCTACTAGATTGGCATCTAGGTCCCACCATTACTGTTGAAATAGTTAAATGCAACCATTACTTCTATTCCAACAGTTTCTTTATGTGCAATTCCTGCTTGTAGAACTCCCTTTCATTTTCTTGCTTCTCTGATAAATACAATCTTCAAAAATTTAAATGCAATGTCAATTGTCAACTTCTGTCTTCTTAAATCCCATTCATCTTTTGTCCTTTCCTCAATCCTCCCTATACTCAGTTTTCTCTTTTTTTTTTTCACTTCCACTCGTTGTAACCCCGTGAGTACTAGTGACATTTCTGCTTTACTTGGGTATGATTAAAAATAAAAAATCACAACTGTATGAACCCATACCTGATATTTCTACAATCTTATGCAAATGTAGGTAGATATCTGATAATTCTTACGTTTAAAAACACCTGTGTAAATCCCCAGATTATCGTGCAACCTATCTGCGAGTCAACAGTAAATCATCCATTATTAAGCCATAAAGTAGGGGTGCGACCTATCCGGTGGGGCGACCTATCCACAAGTATATATGATATTCTAAAGCTTGGGCTGCCTTGAATAAAATGGCTGTAATCTGGGAATCTGATCTACCAGAAAACCTCAAGTGGAAATTCTTTTGAGTGACTGTAGAGGCGGTGTTAATGTATAGTGCCCTTGCATGGGCATTTAACATAGAGTCTAAACTTGAACCTGTAGAGGGCCGTGGCTGTTATGTTGTTGATAGAAGTCAGATGTAGAAGAAACGCATGTAAGGTTCAGATACTCCTGCTCGCCGGGCCCAACTACATAAAAAGGTTGGACTTTGATTAAGTCCAAAGAAGAAGGCAAAGAAAGCAAACAAAACACAAGACCGATAATATATGTATATACAAATATATATTAATAACAAGTTACAATACATGGAAACAGTACAAAGGATGAAGTGTATGGGAATATTCTGTATGTGCGTGCATGTGTGAATATTCTGTATGTAATAACAGGTGTGTATTGTGCTTAGCATGTTTCCACGCTATCCCTTGTTAGCGCCTACATTTCGAGGTTGTAAGCTGAAAGCTTGATGAAAAGGAGAGATTTACCTCAAGGTGTCGGCGCACAGGCCTGAAGGAAAAAGAGATAGAGGCGAAGGGTCAGCGGCTAGAAGAGAGACCCCTGGTGAAAGGGTTAATGTACTAAAGGAGGAGTTAACAGAACTCCGACAAACCTCAGCTCTGAAAGCTATACTTAACATCTCTTGGAGACAACATCCATCTCTAAATCATAACTTTACAGGCCCATCTCTGATATTTTTACAATCTTACACAAATGCAGAATGCACTCTGCAAGGCACTGCTGGCGAGCAAAACAAGAAGTTGCAAGTGATCTACTGCACTAGATACCTAGCCACGAAGCAAGACAGGTTGGTCGTCCAGTGTAAGGGGTTATAATTCTGAGTAAATAATTATTAACGAACCCTAACCGCCTTACATTTATTTTATATATACAAAAATACTTGTAAAATTAAGAAACATCGAGACGTGGAAACAACAAAACGAGTATTCTGGTTCTTGTAGTTTGCTTGGGAGACAAAAGAGACAGCAATATGTTATTGTTACACTGACTACACTGTTAGTGTACTGTAGTGTAACAATAACATGTTGTTTAATTATAAATAAAAATGGTGCGTCTAAATTCGACTTGTACTTGTCTAATGTTTGTTTGAAGTAATATTGTTTAGAGTTATGTGTTTATGGCATAAGTACACCCCATCTTTCCTCTCTCTTGCAATAAAAATTAAAAATAAAAACGTTTTCAGCGCTAAAGCTGAATTAGTCAGATAAAGCTTCATGAGCTTCTTTTAGAGTTGTTGATTTGTAATACTTCTGACAATATAGCCTATAACATAAACAAGGAGAAATATTAATAACAAAGCCCTTGGAAATGACTAATACATTGTCCGAAATTGATTGGGATAAATTTAAAAAGCATTGAGCAAGGACAGTTTCTACACTCTCTAGTCCTCATAAAAAAACATTAGAAAAGAAAATTGAATAAAAAAAAATCTTTTTAAAAATCTTCCTTGTCTATAAATCAATCAAATGTAGGTGTTTAATTAATTACTACTTTTTAATTCCAACATTTAAAATTTTATAGATTTTTTTCCCTCTAGACTTAGTCATGAATCAGAATCACATGTTGTGATATGATGTCATTCATTTCAAAATTTCATATCAAAGAAAGAGCAAACATTTCTTTGTAACCCTTGCTATAAAAATGGTTTGTTATTTATTTATAGCTTTTTCCACGTGGAATCTAGGCCTTGTGCCAAAAATGTAATAAATGTTGTAAAACAAAAATCAAACAAATTAAAATAGACACCTTTTGTTTTTTGAGTTAAAAAAGAAAAAACCTTGAGTTAAAAAATGGAAAGACAGAAAGAAGGAAAAGGAAATAATTGTTCAATATTCCCACGAAAAGATGTAAGAAGACAAAAATAGTTTTTAACAATAAAAATGAACTTACTTGGGATTATGCAAATAAATATCAGCCTTCGTTAACATTTGGAGATGAATAAAAAAACAAAAATAGGCGAAATAAAAAAGACAACTGCAACTTCTACCACAAGCCATGATTACTAAAGATACTTATTAAAAAAAAAGTTTTTAGCGGTTTGAAGTTTGCTTTCTCTTCATAATATCTCAATTGTCTTGAGATTTATTTATAAATAAATTAAAAAAGAAAGAAAAGATGTAAGTGTAACTCTATTGAATATGGACCAATAAAATGGCCACATTTACTCTTTTTCTCGATCTAAAAAAGGAAATCCTGCAAATGTTTTTAAACTGTCAACAACAAGAAAGGTTTGACTATGGAAAACACGACAGATAAAAAAAGAACACCCACACCCCACTAAAGCGCCGTTCTGTTTTTTTTTTTATGTATTTTACAATCGTTGAAGCATGCAACATTGTTTAAAAAGGAGTAGTTTGGTCAGACAACATTTTTGGTATTTGGATCACTCAACAGTCAACACAAGATTGCTCTGACGAGATATCATTCAACAATCAATATCTATGTTTGACACAAACTAAGCACAAAGAAGAAAGTAAATTAAGTCCGATAACCACGAAAAAGGTAAAAAAATGTATGAACTTTTCTTTATTTCATTTATAAAAATCCTCATGTGGCAAATACAGCTAAGTACAGGATCTAGTTAAATTTGAGACTAGGTGTAACTGTTTTCTACTGATACTACTACTATTATATATATATATATATATATATATACACTAACTTGGCTGTCTCTAGGTAATTATGGGAAAGTGATTTACCGAAGGTAAATCACCCATTCTTCCTAATTTAACAACCCTGGTTGTGGTGGTACACCAGCCATGATGAATTTGTCAAGATTTTTTTTATTTACTAAATTTTCACCCAGTACAAGTCCAAGAGCCACTCAAGGTAGAGGGTTAGTGAATGAGGTTGTTGTATGGACATAAGAAGAGGAAGTAAGTGCAGATTACAAATATATGATGATGGGACAGAGCTCAAGGGTGAGTTCATGACTGGCACATATTACCCCCAAACGCCCTGACTGGGGGGGGGGGGCTGGTTGTGACCCTTGCTATCTTATCAACATTTGCTTTTTCTACCTACATTTATATATATTATAAACTAAACTAAGCACAACTGACTATTAAAGGATGAAAAATTTTGCTTATTTTGATGTTCAGGGGTCTTTTTTTTTGTCCAATTCTGGGAATTTGTTTTGCTCATCCTAAGTCTAAAAAAATGATATAAAATTCACTATTTTTTATCCATAATGTTGAATGTACTAAAATAATTCAACCTTTTAACAAGAAAAATCTCAAGTTGATGTCAAAAATTGCCAGAAAACATTGTTGATTTATTTAAGATCTATTATGAAATGTCTCTAATTTTATTTAAATACTTTCTATTTATTTTCAATTTTTCTACTTGAATTGTTCACCTATATTGCATAAAATCCATTATTGTACATGTTTAGGTTAAATATTTATTTTATATGAATACTACCTTAGGAAAATTGAGATGGAGTAGTGTGGGGGATTCATATCATAGAATGGGGGTGGAAGAGACCCTTGCCCTGGCTCTGTGTCGGTTCATGCATTTCTCTTAGAATGAGAAATAGGAGCACCATGTTCGAATTCTAACTGGGTTCATTACATTCACTTGCATGCAAATACTTTTGGAAAAGTTATAAATCCATCTATTTCTCCTCCCAGCTATGGGTTAAATTGTAGGACTTGTATTGGGTAAAATCACTGTTATTTTCAAAAATTCATTTGCTAAAAAAAGAGAATTATTCTTGCAAACCAAAAAATGTTTTGGCTTTACCTATTAAGAGTTGATAAACTATAAAAAAATCAATCAGACTCAGCCAACATTTGAATTTTATATTTTGGTTTGTTCCTAGTTATTAGTATATGTGTGTGTGGGGCAGTTGGTAGCTTTTTTTTTATAGAACTGAGGACCAAACAGAAATTTGTTTTCTTGGTGTCTATGACAAACTATTGAGTATTTGTCTAAAATATTTACTGTCTGTAATTTTCAAAATAAATCAAGAAAATTAACATTACATTTTTCTTTCTTCACTGAAACATTAGCTCCAAATATGTTTATATGCAAAAGAAAGTCCATAATCTGATTTAGCCACTGCTTATTTAAAAGCCAAATTTAACACTCACTCCTTTTATTTCGTAGCACCCTGCTTGATTCCAGAATAGAATTTGTTAAAAAAAATGTTTCTTGTGAATATATGTAAACTGATTTTTTGCAGTATGACAGTAAATGGTTAATTCAATATTTAAAAAAAAAAACTAATCTGTCCTGCTTGTGAATAAGATTATTATTATTATTTTTTTTTTTGAGTAAATTAATTGTGTAAAAATATTTCTTTTTAGGAATTAAGTCTTTAAAAAATATCTTTTTGAATTATGTCTTTAAAAATATATTTTTTAACTAAATTAATTTAAAAAAATATTTCATTCAGTAAATTAAGTCTTTAAAAATATATCACTTTTGAATAAACTACATCTTTAAAAATTTGTTTTTGCAAATTAATTCTTTAAAATATATCTTCTTTTAGTGAATTAATTCTTTAAAATGTATCTTTTTTAGTGAATTAGTTTTGAAAAATATATCTTTTCTCATGAATTAATTTTAAAAATATCTTTTATTGAATTAGTTCTTTAAAATATATCTTTTTTTAGTGAAGTCATTTTTTAAATTATATCTTTTTGTGTGAATTTTTTAAAATATATTTCTGTTACTGAATTAATTCTTTAATAAATATATATCTTAATGAATTAATACTTTAAAGTATATCTTTTTGAGAGATTTACTTCTTTAGAATATATCTTTTTAATGAATTTGTTCTTTAAAATATATATTTTTTAATTGAGTATTTTTTAAATTATATCATTTTGAGTGAATTCTTTAAACTATATCATTTTTAGTGAATTAATTTTTAAAAATATGTCTTTTTCAGTAATTTCTTTAAAATATATCTCTTTTAGTGAATTAATTCTTTAAATTATATCTTTTTGAGTGAATTAATTCTTTAAAATATATAATTTTTAATGAAGTAATTTTTAAAATTATATCTTTTTGAGTCAATTCTTTAAAATAAATCTTTTTTAATGAATTAATTCTTTAAAATATATAATTTTTTGTGAATTAATTCTTTGAAATATATCTTTTATAGTGAAGTAATTTTTGATTATATCTCTTTGAGTAAATCCTTTAAAATATACAGTTGTTAGTGAATTAATTCTTTAATATACATCTTTTTTGTGAATTAATTTTTAAAAATGTATCTTATTAGTGAATTAATTTAAATTATATCTTTTTATTGAATTAATTCCTTAAAAATATTTTTTGTATATGTTAATTTTCAAGAAATACTAAGGTTCATTGTATTTTGAATTCAAATATATATATATATATATATATATATATATATATATATACACACATTACCCATGCAGCTTACATGGTAATTGTAAAAGTAAAAAAAAATTATTTATGTTGGATGGACACTTCTATTTTGGATCAGACTAATATGTGTGCATTCTCCATAGGGTCAAAATTTCACTCTCTGGCCCACATGCACATGTAGGCAGATTGATTTTTCACCGTTTTCAGAAAATTAACATTGCACTCAGTGTGAAAGCTAGGGTTTGATGTGATAAGTACTGAAACCTAAAATTACATTCATAACTTTTACCAATTTTTGTGTATTTAGTTTTAAATATCATCTGAAAAATTTAATAATAATTTCCGCAGGTTTTTACTTACAGACTAACTTTAAAATTTTATTATTTCAAGAATAAATCCAAATAAAGTTGATATCTTATATTAGATACATTGAATGGAAAATATATTGAAACCATAATTCTAATTATGAATCACCACAAGGAATATATGAAATTTATTTTACTGTATTTGGTAAGTAAAAACTGTGTAAAAAAAATTGTAAAATATTACAAAAAAGTGCTACTCAGTGAATAAAATTTGTTAGATCATAATCAATAAAAACAAAAAACAGATAACAGTGTATATAACACCATAATACTGCTGGACACAAATTATAAGACAAAATGTTTTAAATTTGCATTGTTTATTAAAAATCACATTAAAACAACTGCACTGTATAACATATGACATCATAATATAGCTAAATTGTTCAGTATAATTTCCCTTTGAAGCAAATGAAAGTCTTATTTGATGGCACAATGATTTAGTAATAATGTACTTGTGCCATGCATCTTGTCCATATGAAATATGTAAAACTTCAGAAAATTATGAATTTTATAAGGCTGTGTTATAAGGCTTTCAGTGACTATCAGAATGAAATTGCAATGCTACAATTTTGAATCTAAACTTAATCTTCAAAACTGTTTTCCTCAAAAAACGATAAGAATTTGTAAAAAAATATTTTGTGCCATTATTTATCATGTTAAACACCAATTTTCAAATTGAGTGCAATACCACAGTTCCAAATGCAATTTTATGGGGATAACATTTTACAAGAGTCCACACATATGCATAACTTTGAACCTTTTTTGTGTGTATGTTTGCTTGTTTCAAGAAAATATTCTTAGAATTTTTTGATTATATTTGCTTCTATTATTTTATAACTTGATTTAGATTCTTCAAAAAGTCCAGAATGTGGAAAGCACCTATCAATTGCCTCTTTCTGCTTTTCATGCTGACCTTTGTTAATGGGGACATCTATTTGCACTCTCCTCGTGGAAGCAACAACAGACTGAATGAAAATTCTAAAACTCGAAAGAATAATAATCGACTCTTTGATTCACAGGTGAGATAAATATATATTTTTTGTTTTTCCTTTGAATTTATTTATTTATTTATTTTTTTTTTTTGAAAATTAGTTTTCACCTTTGAAATGTTAATGTTATGGTTAACAGATAGGATTTATCATCCGCAATATCACAGAAAAGTATTTATTAAAGAAATATCCCCCCCGAGAAAAATTGCTTTTATTTAATCACTACAT